TCTCCTGGGAATACCACCTGCCTGGCAGGTGCTCACCTTAGTTTTCACAGGAGGAGCCTGGTGCATGGTGCTCCCCCACGCCACTGCCCATCATCATGACCACCCTCCCTTTCTCAGTCCTGGCCCCAGAGTGCAGTGTCCAGGAAGCCATGCCATGGCCCAAGGGTTTGCCTGTGGCAGCAGCAGGCAGCAGAGCTGGCAGGAGTTGCTGCCTGGTGGGACATGGCTGACCCTGCTCCTCACCCCCTCAGCCCAAAGAAGGCAAGAGACAGCAGCTCTGTTACCAGCTGTCACTGAACTGCTGAGATGACTGGAGGGGCACTGGACCAGCCTCTTCATAAATACTTGAGTGAGACAACTTGGACTCTGCAGCCTCTTTGGGCCAGAATCAGGTTTGGCAGAGCTTGTCCATCCTCTGCTCCTGGTCAGATCCAACCTGGCACCCCACTGGCCCATAAGGTGAAGAGCCAAGGACCTTACTGCCCACCCAGAGGAGGAAAGGGCTGGTGCTGCTCTCCTGGCTCTAGGACACCAGAACACAGAACAGCCTCTTCACTGGGCAAATGCTAGGGGTGGGAAATTCCCTGGAGGCAGTGATGGGAAAGGGCACGTAAGTACAAAAGCGATGATGGGAAAGGAAACTCCACGTGCCATCCCAGCAGGTCCACACAGTGCTTTCAGTAAATCTTGTGCAACATAGGGCAACATCCCAGATGGAGATCAGCCCTATCCACAAAGCCTCAGCAGCCCTCACCCCAGACTCAAGCCCTGGGGGATCTGTGCAGGGGCAGGGACTAAGTCACCTCTCTCAGGGCCTGGCCCATGCCAGGGCATGCAGAGCCACATGTTTTCCATGCATCAAGAGCATAGGACAGAACAAGAACCCTCTCTCTCACCAGCTGCAGTGTTGCCCTGCCCCATGACTCAAGGAGCCACCTCTTGCTGGCAGAGGTGGCCCAGAGCTGAGCACCAGCATGATGGCAGCCCCTGCAGCCACACAGTAGGCAACCACCCTGGCACCAGCTGCTGCAGGAAAACCCCAGCCACTCTCCAGGCAGGAAGGCTTCAGGAAAGGTCACAGTTTCTTAACAGCACCTTCCAGTGCCCCCATCTGCCCTTCTGAAGCCAGAACCCTCTTCACAGATTTAAGATTTGGGAGTTACCAGCTCCTGGATGCTTTAACATCTAAATATGAGGTTTGTTGGTCTCAGCCAGATTCAAAGGTCATCACAGGAAGCTATTTTTCTCTCCTTGCTCAAAGAAGCATCCAGAGCCTCCTTCCTGCAATGGCCACAGTTTCATTCACTGTTACCAGGCTGATCACAGTGACAACATGCACTTTTCTTGGCATAGTCAGCTGTTTTGTCTACAGGTGTATCAATCCCGTGGGCAGGATTTCCTCTGCTTCCTTGCACCAGTGCTGTCCTGGTGTGACAGCTCTGGTCCCTGTGCTTTTGTTCTGATGACACAGAGCAGAAGGCAATCGAGCCCATGGTGCCTGGGAAGGAAGGACAGGCCTGAAACCGTCTGCGATCTGAGGCAGGAGGGCTGGGAGATTAGCTGCCTCAGCACAGGCAGAGAGTGCAGTTGTCTTTCCCCTCACCAGGGAGAGTCTGCAGAAGTAAACATTCACACAAGCCCTGCCTGTTTATGTTTGGATCACCTCCCAGTAACAGTTACTGACATGCAGCATCTCAGAGAGCTGGGGAATGGGCCCTGGTGGCAGCTCTCAGGGTAATTTCAAGCCACAAAACACAGACCTAATCTTCCAGCTTCATCCAGCAGCTCCAGATTTGCAGAAGTTTGCAAGAATCAGCAGACCAGCCACTCAGCCTGCCTCACTCTCCATCACAGGATGCACCACAAAGCTGCTCAGCCCTCTAACAGCTTGGAAAATCCTCTCTCCACACCATCATGTAGCATCAAGTGCCCTGGGGGATCCGTGCTTGCCACTGACACTTCCAGCTAGTTCTGAGCACCAGAAAATAAGCCTGGATGCCAGAAACCTGCGTGTCACCAGGCAATGGACTGACAGAAATGGTCTTTTCCCACGTCACAGCTCCCCCACACAGATGGAGTGTGCTGCTGCTGCTGCGGATCCGAGACAGGTTTGGGGACTGCCTTTGTGGATCTAACACCCTTGCTGGGAGCTGGGCTTGGCTGGGAGACGTTCAGAGCTCGATGGACACGCAGGGGGAGTCCACACACTGCAGGCAGGTCCCTTGCAGACCTGTTCCAGAAACAAGCCAGGGCTCCTCCACCCCCAAACACCCGCTCAGATCCTCCCAGCACCATGGCAGGATCTGCCTCCTTCCAAGCAGAGGCTGCCATCTCTAAGGAGCAGAGAGAGCCCTGCACCCACGGGGTGGAATGCTCTGAGGTCCATCAGGGAAGGGCTCTGGAGGGAGGGCAGGGTTTCATGGCCACTTTTGCTGGTTCCCAGCGGACACACCGACACCAACCCAGCACGACACCAGTTTTCCCCTGCTCCCCAGCACCCTCCCTGCTTGCTCAGCGGGGACTCACGGTCTGGGGACGCTAAGCAGCTTTCCTGTGATCCGTGGCACAGATGGGAACTGAACCAAATCTCTAAGCACAGCCCCCCTTTCCCGCACTGGCACCTTCAGAGCACCAAGGTGACCCCGCCGCGTGTCCCAGCGCCGGCGGGACTGAGCGCAGCCCCTTCCCTGTGCTGCCCCTGCAGAGTGACCCTGTGCTAGAACAGGCTTGGTGCTCCCTAAAGCTCCTTCTCTGGAGCCTGCTCCAGCTATGATCAGGCTCTATGGAGGAATTACCAACTCATAAATGCGAAGAGGTGTCCCTGAAGAGCCCATCCCTTCTGGGAGCAAACCACAGCACGGCCGCAGCCCCATCCTGTGCCTCTCCTCACCCCAGCCAACCCCTCTGGCAAGCAGGCACTTGGGGAAATGCAGACTCAGCAGCTGCAGCCCAACTGTGCTGCACACACGGGCATGGCCCTGGGAGCCCCTGTGATCCTTCTTCCCCATGGCCCCAGCAGCACCCTACAGCAAGGCACTGTGTGGAAAAGGCCCTTCCCTGGGTGAACCTATGCCTGCTGCTTCCCACCACTCTGCTTTTAGTAGGTAAAGAAGAATTCCTCATTTCCATCCAAACCATCCTACATCTACTGCCTACCCAGTGCCCAAAAACCTCAGGGCCTTTCCCAGCATGTCACCTGCATCTGATCCTTTCAAGCCCCCTCAAACACCTGACCCCTTATGGGTTTTCCCCTCCTTGCCTGTGAGCCCGTTTGGGATCTCGGGCATTGTCACATCTGGGCTTCATTCAGCATGATCACATATGGGGCTCCTACAGCATTTGCCATGGCCTGCAGTCACTGTTCTGCCTGAACACCCAAGAAACAACAACCACCATCCTACAGACCCAGCTTCTTGTGTTCCCCACACCAAGAGGACCAGCTAAAATCACCAACCTTGGAAGAAACTGTGCCAGAGAAGCACGATCCCTCTGTACCACAGACCTCCTGACATTTCAAGACATCTTTCTGGGAGTATGCAGGACAAGGGCAGCACTGAGGTGGTGGAACACTCATTTGATGCCTGCCACATCTACTTGGTTCCCAGCAGCACTGCCAGAGGCTGGAGGAGCCAGGCTGGGGGTGTGATGCTGGAATGGGCACTGCCTCCTCCTGCTGAGCCAAGCCAGGAGCTGCAGAAGGGACCTGGCAGGGAAACTCCTCCAGCTCCTTTTTGCTGCCTCAGCTCTGCAGATCTGGGGACGTGCCTGTTGGGCTTAGGCTTTCCAGAACTGAAAGAAAGGGTCTCCAGGCCTCCTCAAATCCATCAGGTAGCACTCCACCATGCCAGGTCTCGCTAGGCCAGGAATCTCCACTTCATTCCAGCATAGGACACAAATGTGCAGCTGCCCAGGCAGGCAGCAAGTGTCTCACTGCCCCATGAGAAGAGGCCCTGATGGTCCCTGTGTCACATCAGCTTCACCAGGCAGGTCCCCAGCAGCACAAGAGACAACCTGGCAGCCAGGATGGGAAGACAGCTCCTTCTCCCATCAGGGATTCAAGGAGAAGGTGGCTGAGACCCCCTATAGCAGGGGTCATCCCAGAGATGCTGGACCCAGCAGCAGCTGCCAGCCTGGCTCCAGACTGAAAGCAGCCCAAGGGAGACTCAGCTGCTCAAGTCCACACCCCTCCTCTCCTCTTCAGCAAGCCATGCATAAGGGCAGCTGAGGAAGACCAGAGGGTGAAGGTGGGAAGGAGGAAACACCCAGAGTAGCAGGTCCAGACAAGGGCCAGAGGCTCTTGCTCCCACCATTGCTGTTAGGACCGATCGAGACACATGGGGAAGATCCAAGCCCTCAGCAAGACATTCTGACAGCCCACTCATACTCCTGGACCTAATGACTGTTTTGCTAATTGTCCTCCACACCCACACATACCCCTGCATGCTGAGAAAGGTCACATTACACGGGTAGAGGCTGCCAGGAGAGGCCATGCCTGATCCTGACCTCACCTTGCCTTGACCCAAAGGCACCCACCTCCAACAGCAGAAGTGGCTGCTGCTGCCACGGGGAGCCAGGGGCTGGTGGGACTGGCCACAGCCAGTGCAGCACTCAGGGCTGCTGCATTGCTGCCAACTTTGAGACAGCCCAGAAAGCAGAGCTAATTTCAGTCCCCACCCTCCTGCCAAGCCATCTGCCTGCCCTGAGACCACCAAAAGGATCCTGAGCAGCATTTCATCATTACTGAGCCATTAGAGAAAGTGGATGAGCAGCAATTGATTATAATGAATGCAAATACCTGCCTTCTGACCCCAAACTGGAAGGACCTGACTAGCTTTTCCACTAAGTAGTACAGCATGTCCTTTCACAGGGTCTGCAAAGCCTACTCATCTTCCTCAGTGTTTCCACAAGCCATCAGACACAGCCCTGCCCATCCAGCCCTGCCCTAGAAAACCATCACACCTAAGATCTGCTCTCCATCAACCCTGAGGCCCTGCTCTCACCTGCGGATGCCACAGGTTCATTTCCAGCACCTGAATCCACTGGGAAGGCTTTTCCAGAGTCCTCATCATCATCAAAAGGGCAAAGAACAATCCCCTTACACTAGGACAGGGAGAGAGTTGGGGTCAGCAGGGTGGAAACTCTGTGCTCTGTCATGACATGACACACCCCCACTCATTGAGTGCTTGTGTCCCATCCTGGAGAGGTGCTGTGCCCAGACACAACAGCAGCCAGCTCTCCTCCAAAAGGCCACAAACTAAGAGGCATTCCTGCAACACCAGGATGTATGCAAGGATGAACTCAGCTGCCCTCCACAGCCCAGCAAACAATAAGTGACAGGAATACAGGGACTGATGGCACTGTCCTGCTGCAGTCAAAGGGACATGGGGCAGGTGGGGGGAACAGTGAAAACCATTATGGCCACCAACCCCAGCCAAGAGACCTTAAAGGATTGCCCTTGCCAGGGAGAGATGCTGTGAGCAGAAGCACCTTGTCCTGGGGCTACACCATCACACACCAGAGTGGGGATGAACCTGAGCCTCTATCTAGTCCCTAATCTTAAGATCCTCTGAGCAGGCTGTCCTGCCTGCCTGCAGGGACATCACCCATACCATCATTCCTGATGGGTGTCTGACCAACCTACTGTCACAGTTCTCTGCTGATAGCTCTCACCCAGGTCCAGACCAGGCTTCCAGGGAGAAGGGTACAACTCCTTGCAGGGGTGCAGTTCTCACAGCCTTGTCAGGCCTTTTGCCACCTTCTGGCCTCTTTCCTGCACACAATTTCTTCCCATCCCAACACAGCTCCATCATCAAGGTGCACCACCAGCAGGGGCCACACCCAGCCCAGCCCACGCCACCACCATGAGGCCCAGCCCAATTGCAACCCTTGATTCATACTGGGGAGTAATTCTAGGAGGTCGCCCTTTGGTCATGGTTTGGACTGCAGATACCTTAAGGGACAGATTGCTTGGGGCAAGACCTCAAGACAAGAAAGACAAGGATACCTGGGAGGATTCCCAGCAATGCCATGGCTACAAACTCAGCAAGAGCTGGCTGACCCCAACATGCACCAGACAAGAAAATCCCATCCACCTGAACACCAGTGCCCTTGGTCTCTGAGGCAGCATCTCCTGTCCCACACCAACCCACTGAATCTCTTATTGCCTCATTTCCTTTTTCTTCCCTAATCCAAACTCACCCTCTCTCCTGAACAGCCTCAGTGCTGCCTGCTGCAACTTCCATGCAAAACTTCTCCCTCAACCTCCCGAGCACAGAGCTGGTCCTCCCAGTGCCCAACCATGCCCTAAGGTTTCCATGCCTGGAGTTACACACATTTTTTGCATTCAAGCTGCAAACCATCTGCTCCCCTCCAGTACCCCGTGTTCTGGTGAACCTCATGTTTTCCTCCTCCAGACTTGTCACCCTCTTCTCCAGGATGAAGCTGGACCATGGAGATTAGATGGAAGCAGTTTTCACTGACCTTTCTAGCCGGGCATTGCAGCACACAGCCCAGCACCAGGCTGCAGCAGCCAAGCACGGGGAGCACAGTCATTCAGCAGAGAAAGAGCAGCACAGTGATTCATCTTCCTTTTGATCTTTAGCCTACCCTTGCAGACTCAACGCTCTCCCCCCAAAATTTCTGGCAGCTGGCAAACCTCTCCACCCTCAGACCCGAGAAGGCAAGTGCTGAGATGTGCTGGCACCCTTCAGGGGTTCAACTGCTGCACTCAGCGGGTGAGCAGATGCCTGGCTGCCAAAGTTGCCAGGGAGATGATGAGCTTCCCCTGGAGCCTCCCCTCACTGTGCACATTGTCTGAGCTCCTTCTGAGGACAGGCATCCTCCACCACCTGCACCAGACAGAGGCCACCTCCCCGGGGAGCAGGACAGAGCCGCATCCTTCAAATGGCACCATTGGGACATGGAAGAGTGGTCCAGACGTTTGGGAGGGCGTGTGCTCACATCCCAGCAGCTTCCTCTGATCAGCATGGAGAGCAGAGAGAGGCTGGATCTCCCCACACCTTTACTGCAGCCAGCCCAGCTCCCACCAGTGTGCCCAGTACTGGAGGACCAGCTGTCAGATGGCCCCAGCACATCCCTGCTCAGCAGGGGCCCTTCATCACTGTCCAGCACTTCATTTCCTCTGCAGTGGGAATTCCTCAGACAACCACAGCCATGGGTTGGCTGGGCTTGTAGTCATGGGCTGTCGCAGTCATGTCATGGGCTTGCAGCCCCACAGCCCTGCTGCCCACCATGGATGGATCCCCTGCAGCTCTCCCAGGCCACACATGCTGTTCATCCCCAGCTTCTCCTGCACACATAGCCCAGCTGCTCAGGCTGCACATCTGGCTGGGGAAGCCCACACAGGGCTCCAGGGCAGCACAGGTCTCCTCTGCACTCAGCAGGGACACTCAAGAGGGGAAAGACAGATGAGGCCACTCCAGCACCAGCCTCCACTGCCCTAAACCTGGCAAAGCAGCAGCCATTCCTCATGGGAGCCATGCAACACTGCTCACAGGAACTGCCAAGCCCATCTGATCCTGCTGGGAAAGGCACCCCCACCCCAGCAGCACAGGACCAAACCTGATCCCTTGCCAGGCTTTGCAGTAGATGTTGGAGTGTGCCAAATGCTTTAAGGGTCAAGGCTCTGGTGACCATGGCACATTTTGCCCAAATCAAATGGGGAGCTCAACTGGAGCAGAACATGGCTCCCTTTTTGCCTGATGATGGAGTTTATTGCCTCTGTGCTCCCAAGCATGCACCAGTTCCTGATCCAGATCCAAACCCAAGTCAAGGTGTTGCCTGTGATTTAGAAAGGGCGTTATGCTTCAGGGCCTGTATCTAAGGGCTGTCAGCCAGCAGAGCATAAAGACAGTCACTGAGCAGCAGCTGGTGTCCAGGGGCTGTGCGTGGAGAGGTCCCAGATATAGAAACCAGCACTGCTGGGATCACACAGAAGGCTTTTAAGTCTCCTCTTACCCATAGAGAGCCTTGGGGAGATGCTTTATTTAGTCAAACATTTCTGAAAGAGGGGCTGAGAAATCAGCCAGGCTTTGCTCCACACATGGCACATGCCTGGGAGTGGACAACCTCTGTTGTTCCAGGTACAGCTGAAGTCACTTGGACCTGCAGAACCAGCAGAGCAAAGTTTCAGTTGCCAGTTGCCATCGCAGCTGGTTCAGCTGGGAGATGAGGAGCTGTCCTGGCCGTGGGGACACAGGGTCCACTCCCAGGCCAAATCCAGCCTGCCAGGAGCAGAGAGGAGCCAGAAACATGGCATCCTTGTGGGGCACAACATCTTGCTGCAGCCAAGTGACCGTTCCCCATCCTCAGAAACACAAAGCAAGAAGGAAGCAAGTTTTCACTCTTTTGCAAACCCAAGGAAGTGTGATTTTCTGAAGGTGGTGAGAAATAGTTTCAGACAGCTCTAATTAGCAGGGTGGTATGTGAGAAAACCCAGCTTTGCTGCTCCCTGCTCCACAGCTGTCCTGGGATGAACAGCAAGCACCAGAGCCCACCTGCACCTTCCCCTGGGGCTGCCTGGCTTGGAGCAAGCTCAGTGATTTGCAAGATAGAGGGGATATTTTTGCATGAGCTGCTGGTCCAAAGCTGCCAGTGCTATTTCAGGCAGCAACACCTACTCTGTAATCTAGAGGGCTGTCTTTTCCAGCGGACACTTTGAAATCAGGCCTCACTCCTCCTTTGCCAGGCCAGCTGTAACCAATCTGACTCCCAGAATCAACAGGTAAGCAGGTCCCAGCATCGTGTGGCCACCAAGTCCAGTGCCACAGCCCCAACATGCTCAACATGCTCCTGATTCTCAACAAGATCAATGCACCTCCTGGCTGGAAAAAAAACCAACACAAAACAACAACCAAGCTGATCTCACAAGAAGTACCTGCTGTGACAACAGGTCCTCTGCCTGCAAATCCTCCCAGGGATCTGCCACCACCAGATTACCTGCCCAGACTAAGCCAGCTAATCCTGCAGGTAAGTCGTGTGCTTCACCCTGCAGCATTTTCAGTGAGGTGCTCCAGGAGATGTACAAGCTCTAATTAAAGCTACTTTGCAACTTCCCGTATATGGAGGCAGAAAGACATTTGTTCCTCTGTGAAAGCAGAAATCAGAGCCCAGGAGATTAAAACCCCCTACCAGTGGGAGGCCCTCCTGCACAAAAAGTAGCTGCAAATGTATCTTTGCACAGGACTCATGCAGAGAGGAAAGCAAAATTATGACATGAGCAACCCTTAAAGAGCAGGAGGGTCAGAACCACAATCCCTTTCTGGACCCAAATCAGGAGTGGTCCCAGCAGGGATGCCATGCCACACAGCCACCTCACCAGTGACAGCCCAGCACCATGTCCTGCACCTATTTCTTCCTCCTTGATCTGTACATGTAGGCACAAAGGAGGTAAGAGATCATCCAAAATTAAGGAGCTAAAAGATGTAAAGAAAGGAGACAGGAGCAGAAGAGACTGTTCATTGTAGAGAAACACTGAGGCTACAACATCAGACCAAATCCTGCAACACATCCTGGACCTGGGCAAGCAGCAAGAGCAGAGGACACACAGCATCTTAGCCTAGGAGAAGGGGATGAATCACTAGAAAACTGATCCAGGCACGGAGCCAGAGCAGGGGGAAGATGGTCCTGCCAGGACTCCATGTTTGGGAGTGCAGGAATTACAGTGATCAGAGCCAGGAGGTCCCCTCCCCCCACTCAGGAGAGACCCCAGTACCTGTCCCCCAGACTCTGTAATACCCCTTACAAGGCTGCAGCCTGGCTGTCCCTCAGAGTGCATGTTGTCCCTGGACACTTCAATCCTGCCAACTCAGGAGGTATCCAGAGCCCCACCTGCAGCAAGAACAGAAAACACCCCTGACCCCCTCTGAATCTGCCCTCCCCACAGAAACTGAGGAGCAAGAAGTCAGACCACAGCCTGGTTTCCCAGCCTACACACCTTTCCAGCACCTTGGGTGCTACAAAACAGAAGATCCTGCCAGGAATGTCACCTTCAGAAGTAACCTCCCAGCTGAACCAAGAGCATGAAGTGATTGGGGAACCACAAGCTCAGCAGGCTGAGGCTCCTGTTTAATCTTCATCAC